AAAAACTTTCTTATTCAATAAATGTGTCAAGTTTTGAAATCAGCAGAACAGGGGAATCGTAATTTTCCATTTTAGCAATCTTTTTAATAAATTACCATTCTGATTTTTAAGCAAAATTTTTCGTATTTGAGAAAGATTTTAAGCGATGCATGACTTACATAACATCCAGCGGCACATCTGAAGAAAGTCATGACTTCTGAAGATATAGGAGCTGACGTGGTAGAAATTATATGTACTCCCTCCCCAAAGGCTTCTTGGAACTGTTTGAAGACAAGTTTATCCCAAATAGTTTTATTGGACACTTTGCCCCTAAGAAAATAAATTGACAAGAGACATTGCAACGGAAAAGAAAAGTAATTAAATTATAAAAAGAAATGCAATGTGCATTTTAATAAGTCATTTTTTCCCTTACAGATACCAAAAAGAAAGTCAAGCTAAAGTGAATTATCAAACAAAGAGGTAACTTTACAACTGTCTAAAAATATGTATAAATTTTACTTTATTTCTGAACTTTTTTATGTAACTATTTATCTATACACATCAAAAAGATTTACTAATAATATATTTTAAACTTATTTTTAAGTGTTAAAAAAAAGAAAGAATAAATACGAACAAAAAATACACAGGAAACATTTTAGAAAACTAAAAAAATTAAAGAAACTAACTAGCGATATTTTTAACAAACATTACAACATTTGACTGAAATTACGACAAAACGAAAAATTAAAATAGTAAATTTAATTTAGTAAGTAATTGGCTCGCGCAAGTGTTACTAAAATTTTTAGCGTCTAGCAAAGGTTACCGTAAAAATAATTGCATCCCAATTAAAACGCGCCGAATCCAAAATTTTCACCCATGGGGTACAATATTACACTGTACTTATGGGGTCTTAGTGGTGTTAATTTTTCCTGGAGGGCTGAAAATATAAACAATATTCAAATACATATAACTCTTTTAAATTTAAATTAAATAATTTGAATCCTTTACACATTATTTATAAAGAAATGAGGCTTCAGAAAAGTGTAAAATGTTTAAAATATAATCATAATTCTAAAAATTATAAACATATGAAAATAAGAAATTTTTTATAAGAAATATTAATTAAGTTTTACTGCGCGCATGCTATTTTCAAAAGTATTAGCTTTAATTACTATCAACAAGTTGATTTATAAAGTTAAATGTATCCTTATTACACCGTAGTAAATTTAAACAAATAGAATAATAAAAAAAAATTATATTTTCAAAATGTTTTTGAAAAATTTTAATATTTTTCAAATATTTTGAAAAACAAAAGACATATTATTCTTAATTTTCTAGGGCTTAAAGAGAATGATACATTTTATAATTCTTTAAAGTTTTATGCATCAAAGGGTACTATTTTAGAAAATAGCGTGCGCGCAGTAAAACTTAATTAATATTTCCTATACAAAAATTTCTTATTTTCATATGCTTATAATTTTTAAAATTATGATTATATTTTAAACATTTTACTCTTTTTTGAAGCCTCATTCCTTTATAAATAATGTGTAAAAGATTCGAATTATTTAATTTTAATTTAAAAGAGTTACATGTATTTGAATATTGTTTATATTTTCAGCCCTCCAGAAAAGGTTAACACCCCTGAGACCCCTTATCACATCATATATTATGTGTATACGTTACACATAACATTAACATAACGTGACGTAAATGTATACACATAATGTGTATACGTTTAACGAATAAAAAAAATTTAACGCTTAATCAAATAAACCACAAATAAATAGCTTTATTATCATGCCTTTTCAGTTTTAATAGAGTTTGAATGATAAATAATAGCCTTATCAAATAAATCATTTTACTTTGTATGCCAGGGCTGTCAAACTCGCAGCCTGCAATGAACTTATTTGCGGTCCAGCCAATATATTGGCACACGATAATATATAATAATTTTTTAAAAAATTCTCCCAAAATTGGAAAGATAGTAGTATAGAAGAGATGTTAAGTGTCAATATGTAAACATGAAACTTTCCTTGTTCTTTTATATATGTTTACTAGCCAGTATACTCGTTCTTCGCACGGGAAAATTGAAGTATTAAATAATACAGATTGAAGAATATACAGAAGTTTTTAATAATGAGTTAATTTTTCGCAAATTGCAAACTAAACAAAAAAAATCTTTTTGTATATCTCAGATGAACAAAAAAAGCCATATTTGTTAAATTTTTTGTCTGTTGATCTAATAGCTGATAATAAGGATATTTTTAACTTGATGGTCAGCCTGGTCCTAGACAAAGAATTCTCAGATTAAGGTAACTGGAACGTGAAGGCGCTGTAAAATTTTCATTTTTTTTTTATTTTACTTTTAAAAAATAGAGGGCTTTTTGCTGTTTCTATAGATGTATTATTTGTGAGAATCCGATCAAAAGAACGCTAGAAAATTGAATTTTAAAATTGTAAACAAATATGATGCAACTGTGATTCAGGTACATTTTCTTCAAAATCCGTAGTGAGTTCAATATGTATTGTAAAAAACTAATTTTCTATTCGAAGAATGTAGTTTTTCTATATTATATAATCAAATTTATTGAAAATTATACATTTTTTGTGCAAAAATTACGGAAAATTTAAATGATTTGTTACAAAATTTTGAAAAAATTTTTGTTTTTTTTTGTTTTCTGAAATGTTAATTATGTATATTTTTGCATTTTTTCATTTATAAATACTCAGTAAATTTTTGAAATTATAAATCAAGTCGATATAGTACCAAGTAGATTTTGAGGATTGTTCTAAATTAACGCAGCTTGTAAGATATACATTTCGTTATTCCTAACTGCTTATTGTTAACATTTGAATGCTCATGAATAACTCTATATGTTTATTACTTCTGGTTTACATTAAGATAAATAAATATTCATATGTACTAATACAAAAGCAGAGATTATTTTGCTATAATTTTTAAAAACAAATTTCCATTTGAATAGACATCAAATTAACTTCATAAATTCATCAAAAACATATTTTGTGTATTTTTATAACAATAAAAATATGTGCAAGGAATTCTGTAGTATCCTGTAATGATGATGTTCAAAGTGAAGTAAAAATACTAAAACTTACAGACATAAAACTTTGGTATTTTAGATGGAAGAAGGTGTGAATCGTTGATAACACGAGTTTATGAAGTAGGGAAAGCGTAATTAAAAACTTCTAAAGAATCTAGAATTTTAAACTTACAATTTAAAAACTGAGAAATGATACAAAATGATGCAAAATAATCCAATTAACAGTGGTATGACTTTATATTGCAAAAATATATTTTTTTACAAATCATAGATGAAAATATCTTTATTTGCAATTTTCTCAAAACGCAATTTTTGGTGATTCCGGTACACTTTCCTCAAACTCTACTTTACCTATAGAATTGATATTTTGCATAATACAAGATTAACAAAATTTTAGCAAAGTGAATGAATTCGTTTTCAAATAAACATTCAAAAATTTCAGGTATAGCACAATTTCTGCATAAAATTTAAAAGAAATATAAATCACTAAATTTAAATTTTTTAAAATTTTTATAAATTTATATTTTAAAATTTCATTTCGTTCATTTTATGGATTGTTATGCTTACAAAAACTCCGGGAAATTTAATAGCTATATATGCAGTAGATTTTATGCAAAGTGTACCTAAAAGTAAGAACATGCTTGAAAATAAAAAAAATAGTTATTGATTAAGTATTGCTCCTACAGATTTATTTGTAATTTAAAATCAAATTTTTTTCGTGAACAAAGACATAAATATACAGATAATTCAACGTAAAAAATTTATTTCCGTTGCTTTAAATTTATGTAAGTGAGAACCATTTAAAGGTGGTGCAAAAATAGTTCATTTTTCCTTCTCGCAGACATCCCAGTTACCTTAAAACCGATCTTACAGTCGTTGGCCACACTGCGAGATACATAGAGACCTCTATCATTATCAACTAGCAACAAACCCATTTTCTCATCCATCCAACTGCTTACTATCTTAACGAACTGAGAAAACGAATTACCGTAGAGATTACTAAACTCTCTTGGACATTGTGAACGAAATAACCAACAACTATTGAAGATAAAAAATCAAGTACATGTCTTTGAAATAAAAGATCATTTTTCTATCTATCATATTTTCATCTATCATTTCTTTGCATTAGTTTTCTTAAAGTTGGTTATTTTCTTTCATAAAATCTAAGTATTTCATTGTTATCACCATTTTTTAATGGTGAGCTTTGAAAAGCATGTTGTACCTTGACCATTGGAGGCCATTGTGCTTTCAAAACCAACAGCTAAAGCTTTTTTCCCCCACGGAATGGTTAAAACTTTTTTTGAACAAAAATGTAAGACTCGTCTTATACCTATGAGTAAATTTTTCGTTGGGAGAGAAATGTAAAGGTGACGAGACTTTTTATACTCACCTCTTGAGGAGTTTCTCTTTTCGTTTGAGAGCTGCGCGCAAAAGAAATGACTTGAGAGGACTGCCACTAACTTTCTCCATTACCTAAAAATAGGAAGGCAATTTTCATTTTCAACACAAAAATCTACAAATTTTAGAGTAATACTTCTAACAGAGAGAGAGAAATTACTTCATTTGATTCCACGAAAAACTTATATGGTGTATTTATGAGAACTTTTATTTTATGTTGTCACTTGATCGACAGTGTCAGATGAAGACCCACGAAATTCATCATGGCAAGTGGTAAGTTTTACGTCTGTCATTCGCTGCAGTTTGAGCACCATACAGGTGACAGTACAGTGTCAAGCCCCTGACCACAAGGGGGAGGGTCAAGAGCCCCCACCTCTCTTCCCCTTCCACCAAACTCACGAAAGTATTTGCACCTCAATGAATATTTAGAGTGTTTCCATAACGCACACAGGCACTATATATTAAAAAACATCCATGCCTTCTCCAGGATTCGAATCCTATCCCTACGTCACAGCGGTCAGTGTCATTAACCGCTATACAGGAAAGGCTGACAAAAATTCCGACGGCATGCGTTCTTACCAGATGGTCAACCTCCCAAGTACTGACCACCGCCGATGATGCTTAACTTCGGTGATCGGACGAGAACCGGTGTTTTCAGTAGGGTATGGCCGTTATTCATAAAGGAGCCAATTGGAATGCGATTAAGTATTGCTACAATTAATAAATATACTGTTATAACGAATTTCTTAATGAAGAAGTTATTATTTCTGTGCAAGACATAGTAAAAAGTGATCAAAAGAAAAAACTAATGCAGTTCTTTCACAATAAAAAAACCAAATACTTAGAAAGAGCCAATAATTTATCTATTTTCCTATTCATATCATAAGAGTCTGTAAGGATCTGATACCCACACCTGGCAATAGATCGAGCATACATGGGGGAACCTGGCAACAGGTGAGACCCTGTATCAGGGATCTGGCAGCGGGTCCGGTATATATAGAGGGAGAGACCCGGCAACAGGGGAGACGGGACCAGACCAGACCGGACCGGACGGGGCAGAAAGAAGGCAGCGGAAACGAGAAAGCCGGAGACAAGAAAAACGTGGTTGGAGGAAGAAAGACTGTGCTGGACGATGGATTTTGCAATCTGTTAATATCTTCCTAATTTATTCGTTTTTGTGATGTTTCCCGTAGAAGAGAAAAATAAATCAATGGCGCGAAAAACCGACTGTCATTATTTTTTTACCAATTCGAACACACCGATCATTAAAAGAACCCACGCAAGGTTAATAGACTCCTTTCACTGAAATGGAAGAAAAATAAAATGCAGGGCCATTTCTAGTCCTCATTTATAGTTTCGAAGCGTCGTAGTAAAAATAAAAATAAAACATGGTAATGTTAAGTGTCAATTGTTTTTTCACCTTTTAAACCTGTTTCTTTCATGTTAATTCGTATCATCACTTCTAAACGTATTTCTTTGTAAAAATAAAAAATATTTAGCAGTTAGAAAGCAAATTATTTTTTTTACACATGCACAAGCCTTTTTTTTTTTTATTCTCATTTTCAAAAAAAATTTTATATTATGGTAAGAAATTGTTAACACCCACCCTCCACTTTCTAAGGTACAGAACACTTTTTTTTTTTTTGTTGTTTTAGTTCTATTTACCGCAAGTGAATTTTATACTTGCATATAATTAGCTTTAAATTCAAAACACTCGCTTTAAGGTTACAACTTATTCTTCTAGTCGTTAAATCTGAAATTAGTCGCTAAATATGGAAATGATGTATGAAATTAATCGCCATATCTGAAAATTGTATATGGAACGAGTCGCCAAATTTAAAAATGATATATGCAATAAGTCGCCAAATCTGATTATCCTTATTTCTGACGATCCTGAAAAGGACAATGGAACAAAATTATGAAATTATTGTATTGTCATCGGTCCTTGACAAGTGTGCGAAATTTCGAATGAATCCGATCTTTTTAAGTGGGTAAAAATCGAGTTCTAAGATTCCGTTACATGCAAGTGAAACTTATAAAAGCGTGTTAAAAATACATAAAACGAATACAACAAAAGAAAACATTTAAAAAAGTACAGAAAAACTGTTCAAGCTTTACTTACATGTCTTTCAGATGTTCTATGGGTGAAACCGTAGTCACATGGACAACAATGCGATAGTCCAGGGCCTGCTACACTACTCAACATGGTGAGTGAGTGAGTGAATATTAACTTCGCACTGTTCAGCTATACACGAGGGCTTTTGGCGACAGACCGCGTAATTTTGAACCATGGTCAAGTAACGCTGACGACACCTGAGCTGGCATCCCCCTTTCCTAACTACCACACCAAACCAACGGGTGGACGCTTGAGCTCTAGACAGATTTAACGTGCATCGCTCCCCTACACGGGGTGTCTTCAGTGGTACTGGGCTCAAACTCATGACATGCTAGCCATGATCCAATACTTTGACCACTTGGCTACCGCGGTCACTACTCAAGGTGGTACTATCAACGTTAATGGCAGTACATGTTATCCTTCCGGGTTATCGGAAAACTTGATATTTTACATGACACCAAGTTTTGGTATCCCCTTTGCCTAGTGATGTAGCAGAAAGGCACGAAAAAATAACAGGTGCTGTCAGTATCGTTAGTAGTTTTTGCAGAAACTGCACTACCGCATTGAAATTCTATAAATTCTATACATTCTAAAAAATTAAATAAAACTCACCCTTCCGTAGAGAGCATTCATTAGCCTGGGCACTAGAGGTAGAATGGTGGGATTCACGATTTTTATTTCATCCACTAATTTCTTGATGTCCCCGCTATAGAATGCGATGCGACGAGCAAAATACGTGCTGGCAACCTACGGGAATCCATGCAAATTTCATTAATATTTAAAGTGTACACGGGTAGGTAGGTAGGATAGTGTATGGTTTACAATAAAAGTTTTCTAATACAATGGCTTTAAGCAAAAATTGTCTTTTATTAATATTATTTGTTTATTTTTTGTAGTAGTACTTATACACTCCCAACCGATTCGTAGTAGAATAAATATTTTTCGTTTTATTTAGCAAACTGGAAATTAAAATGGCACTTATTATCAAAGTTCTCACTAGGTGATCAACCCAATTTAGAAAATAAGTAATTTTGCATTACGATACCGTAGTTATTGTTAAGTTACTGGAGTCCACCAGTGGTTAAAATTCTAACAGTATATCTCTGAAAATTATTTTGATTTCGTAATTTTGAGAAAAACTATTTACAAAATACATTTAATTAACTTAGAAAAATCCCTGAATCGTTCGAAGATTTTCCCATTTCACCCTTTACTTAGATTACTTAGACTCTCTCCAGTGCTTAGGTTCAATGTTGTCTCTCAAACTACAAAAGATTGGTGTATCTATTTTTAAATGCCAAATTATTTTATTTCGAAATTATAATTTTGAAATCTGATTTGAAATTCAAACAGAAAATAAGAACTGATAAACAGAGCTATTTCGTTCAAAAGATATGCTCCATATCAGTTTCTGCAAAATGTTTCAATAAAATTCTACAAATATTGTATTGATTATTTGGTGTTAGCTCTGTGGATTCGGGACAAATTCATCAAAAATATCTTAATATTATTGGTTTGAATGAGAGCGAAATATTTAAACTGTGTATGAATCTGTTTTTGTTGCCTGTTATATTTTTTTTTTGTTAAAGGTTATTGAGATATTATAAGTGTTATTCGCGAGAATGCCTGTAGAAAAAAATTCTTAGCAGACTGATTATTCTACTGGTAACTAAATACGATAAATAATTGCAAAAACTACCTGAACTTCTTTCTTTAAGACATTAATATGGTGAAAAATGGCATAATAATCATAAATAACAATCTGTACTATATTTATACTATTTTTAAAAAATTTGTCCGTGTACTTTGACAACTATGGTGTTAAAGCTCACAAACAATAGAATAATATTATATTTTTTCAAACCTACCTCATTTACTATTTCATAAATGTGGGCAGGAGGAAGATAGGATATGATTGATCCTCCATATATACCTGCTTTCTAAAAGATAGGAAGAATAGTTTTAAAGATTGTATATACAGTCATGAAAATTATTCATATTTATTACTAGTTTTAATTTTATTGTCTTTGTGCGGAAGCCATGAGTGATGTATAATTTTTACTAGAAAATTATACTAAAACTCATGGAACGCAATCAAATTGAAAATGATGCAGACATACATTAAAAGAACTTGATTGGATCCTATTTTAGCATATACCTTTATCGCCAAGTTGGCGAATTTTTATCCTCATATTGGATCGAAGTCCAATACAGAAAAATTAGCTGTGTTTGTGTAATTTGGCCCATTTTTTTCTCCCCTTTGCCAAAGGTCTGGGCACAGGTAAGATTTTTCTAAATAATTCGAGGTATATCGTTTAAAGTAATAAAGGATTTATCTACTTCCTTATCATATAAGAATTGATCCGAATACTTTTTCTTTCATTATAAATCTAAGTATCTTAGTTATAAGCAAATGTTATTAGTTCTATTAAAATTCGTATCTGTTTTTGCTGATATAAATTCTATTGATAACTCATTAGAATGTTTGTCTATGCTGGCTTTAAGAATTTAAGTTGCTTAATGTTTACAAAACTTAGAAAGTGATTACAAACACTCTGAAAAATATGAACATGTTCCCTGATGATTATCAAATTTTTCCGATGCAACTCTAAATATTAAATTGTGTTGAGAACAGATCAGTCTAGTGTACGATACAAAAAATGGCAATTAGAATTACCATATAGTTCCGAATATAAGCCTACCCGATTATAGGCTGAAATTACCTTTTTATTCAAAAATTTACTCAAAATTTGAATCTTGTATACAAGCAGAATTTTAAAAAATCCAATAAGTTTCAAACATGCTGTTATGAAGGTGAAAATTTTACCAAGCGGGTAAAACGGGTGGAATATTTTTCAATCAAACTGTTATAAAGTAAAACGCCGGACGCCAACGACGATAGCTTAATTTCTGGTAACCCTGTCTGAAATTAAACATTTTTGAGTTTTATTTAATACCTTGTACACTATTTGTGATAGACTTATTTTTCCTGCGTGATTTTTTGTTTGGAAAACGAGCGGAGTATGGTTAATTTCAAACAGCTTCAGATATCCGAATGGATGAATGTGAATTTTTCGAACTATGGAAACTCAGATTCAGGCAGCGATTTTAAAGGATTTATGGGGTGGGGCCTTCTTTTTTGGATAGAAGCTCCATTCAAAACACCCGAAATGTTTAATGATTAAAACGGCTTCAGCATAGCCAAAGAAAAAATTTTAAAAATCTATATGTCTACATTTTTTAGAGGTTAGCGAATACGTATATAAGACGACCTCCTCATTTTTCCCCCTCCTCTTCCACAAACGTTTCCTGTCTTTTTTTTTTCTTTTCTCACCCTCTTTTTTTTTTCTCTTTTTATCTCTAAACCCTATTTATGTTTCACAATTTTTTGCAGCTTCCTGGTTTAACTCTTAGTTTACAATATTAGTATACTTTCAGGTTAATTTCCTGTTTTTTTTTTATTTTTATTTTATTTTATTAATTTTTGTAGCAAAAAATGATATTCCAATAAAATCCAATAATTTATCTCCCCCCCCCTTTCTCTCTTTATTTATTT